CTGGGGCGCCACACCTTTCCCCTCTACAGATACTTTCTGTCTTGTGCTAATTGGCCCCTGGGGTCCAACTGCTTAGAAACCAATCAAGATGACTCAAAGAGGAAAGTTTGACTTGAGCTCAGTGCGTGTCAAAATAGATTCTCATCCCTCATCCCCACACTGTTCCCCAGACACAGCTCTCTTCTGAGGGTCCAGGGACTGTTTGAGGCCCTGAGTTCCAGCCTCAGAACTAGCATAAGGGAAATATTATGGGATGAGAAAGTAGAATGTAGTCTCTATACCAAGCAAGACAGACGCCAGAATAAAAGACAGAATGGCGAAAAAAAACCCACGTTTGCTTGTGAGTTTGACAGGGGTTAATAACCAGAATATGTGGAGATCTCCAGAAACTAAACTCCTTGTGTAGAAATGGAACAGTAAAACCTCCCCTGCCTCATATATGTAATCTAAGTCAATTAGAAGATAAAATCTAAATCCTCCCAATCACCAACTAGGAAATAGGCAGATAAACTGAATACTTTTCTGACGTTAAGTATCAGTGGGCAATAAAAAATGGAGAATACCCCAGATTCCTAGCCAGAAAGGAAACAGCACTATTCTCTGAGAGTTTGTCAGAAAGTTGGCAAATCCCACTTCAACTTTCTCTTCTTGCTCATTCTCTCCACCGAGAGCTTTCCACTGAGTCCCTCCACCATCTCTTGCTTCTGACAGCCACGGCTGTTCCCACCACCACCCCCCCCCTCCAGTGCTGTTCTGCACACTCTCAACGCTTCCCCAGACTTCCAAACATGCACTATTCCAAGCACTGCATCAGGTATTCTGTAGCATAGACACAGGGGCAAAAATGCATTTGTCCCCATGAGAAACCTAAACCTTTGCCACCTAAATCAAGACTCAGAAAGCCAATCCATCGCATGTTTTCTCTCCTGTGTGGAATGTATGGGGAGAAAGGGCATGAAAGGTATAGGGGAACTCTGTCTGGGGTATGGAGAGAAATAAAGTTTAAGGAATTTGATTTCTTGGGAGACACAGACAAGAGAGAGTACTAAATAGAGGGAGTGAGTGTAATCAGGATGCATTATAAAAGTTCAAATGAAAACTATTACTTTATAATACAAAGATATTCTAGAAACCTGCCTAGAAAAATATCCCACATATTAAGAGTTAAATTCATACACCAAAATTATCAATGAAGCCAATATTTTACATTTGCACCAGAGATGGCTAATGTTTTGCATGATAAGGACAATCAAAGTCAAATCCAAATTTGTGGGAGTTTAGAGGAAACTTTGTCCTGCTCAAGGCTTCCACTAATAATAATAAAAAATGTGAGATTGCTGACAAGTATTTCCACATGAGATGTTTCTCCTGCTCCTATTTCTTCATGGAGATGACATACAAACAGTGAGCACACAGTGTGATCCCTAAGGAGGATCTGTGGAGAATGAACCCTAGGGACGCCCAACTTAGCATCCATCCTCATGGAAATCTCCATCTCCAGGGACGGCAGTGTATTTGTCAGTTCCCAGTCATCCACCCTTGATCAGAGAGCAACAGGTCTCACTCGGTGTTCCATTCCAGTAAGCAAAGGCTTTACTTACAAAGAAGGAATTTCTCCTTCACCAGGTCCAACATGGAGCCAGCAGAGGCAGGATGCTATGAAAGCACTTGGCATTAATAGAGCAGCCAGGTAAGAGGGCTAGAGGGAAAGCAGAAAGTGGGTGGTGGAAAAGGAGAAAGACAACTGGATCAGCCAACAGTGAATAGGACCGGTCACTGCAGGCCGTTACTAAGCTTGGTCACAGCTCAGATCCAAGAGCCCTGCTGTTTCCACAGCAACAAAGATGTACCTTTTCCAGCCAAACAAGGCCATGCCGTTCCTTCTCTGATCTATACTGGGGTACACTTTCCTCTGTGTCCATCCAAAGTAGTCTGTGATTCCATCATGAAGGTGCCTCAGAGCCCAGGTGTTGGAATCATAGTCTGAGTCTCACAGAGAGGTGCTGGCTGTTGGATGGACTCTATAGACTAAGGAAGCCTTCATCTTAGGGTGCGGAGACCCAAACAGCAGGTGGGGCCGATTAAGTCAGAAATCTCAACTAATTCATACACTAAAGTCTGACTCATAATAGATCAGTATAGGAAAGCAGACTTCTACACATGTCACTTACTCAAGCTAAAAGTCATTATCCAAGGAGTAGTTAACCTTGTTGTCCCTATAGAGAATCTGTAAGGATAGTTCAGTTTCATTTCCAAAGATGTTTACTAAAGATTCATTCAGAGACATAGGGACTTTGTGCATGACCCACCACTGAGTACTGGCTTTCTGTCCCGGCTGATTGTACTCACATTGAAACTAGGAAATAGTATCATTTTTCTTTTGGTGTGTGTGTGTGTGTGGGTCCATTTGTGGGGCCTGAACTCTGGGCCTGAGCGCTCTCCCTCAGCTCTTCAGCTCAAGGCTAGCGCTCTACCACATGAGCCACAGCGCAACTTCTGGCTTTTTTCTTTTTGCTTATGTGGTGCTGAGGAATCGAACCCAGGGCCTCAGGCATGCAAGGCAAGCGCTCTACCACTGAGCCACCTTCCCAGCCCCATGGAATCATTTTTCTACCATCTGTACCTGTTACCTCTCAGTACAAATACTGTAGGGACAGGGTGAGATAATTGGATCTGATTGCTGTCAACATGTAGACCTTGTAATAGTGATAACTCAGAAGGAAAAATGCCCCTTGACATCTTATCACTGCTCATTAGCTCTGCTTCTGCTATGTGACAATTTGAAGTCCAGAATATTAACATCCACCAGTCAAGACAATTCCTTGTCTTGATGACAAGTTCAACCAATCCAACTCCCAATTCACAATGTATATTGCCCTTGTTTACCATTTTCCATCAGAATTGTCCATGTTATCTACTGTGGCTTGGGTAGTGAACCCAGGTTTAAAAAATAATAATAACAATAATAATAACAACAACAACAATTTCAAACCTTCAGATTTTTTCTTTAATTTCACTACTTTAATTCTCTTAGTTGTGGTCACTTTATTGTACCCATAATTGGTACATGTGTATCTGTATATATATGTACATATATGTACCTACATATTGCTTTCGGTGGATTGTGAGGCTTGAACTCAGGGCCTGGATGCTGACCCTGGGATCTTTTGCTCAAGGCTAGTGCCCTACCACTTTAAGCCACAGTACCACTGGTTTTCTGGTGGTTAATCAGAGATGAAAATCTCATAAGCTTTCATCTCCAGGCTCTCTTCAAACTGCAGTCTTCAGATCTCAGCCTCCTGAGGAGCTAAGATTACAGGCATGAGCCACTAGCATCAAGGTCTATAATAGGATGTACCATAATAGGTACATCCTCTAACCCACCTCTAAATCACAGTCTTTGGCTTGACCTGCCCGCTGCCAAGAAGGGTTACATCCTAGTCCTTAACTTTGTGGAAATGGCATGAATTGCTCATTATCAGTCAGTAAATCCCTGTTATACTTAAGAAAACAAATCCAGCTACATCAGATATTGACTTCTTCCAAGCTCCATAGAGAGGGAGAAATCTACCCATAGCAATTTACGGATATTTTGATAGCAGACCATCAGCTGTGGGCTATGTGACACATGTCAGTGGTAGGGAAAGCGTCTATCAAAACCCCCCAAAGGTTCTTTTTTCTAACAAAAATAGAAAATCCAGAGTCAAACTGTTCAGGATGATCCTAGGCCTCTTGATGCATCTTTGCCACTTGGTCAAAATTTCAATAATGGTAACTAATAGAAAAACAGCATAAAGAAAAAGAAGCCCTGAATTTAGTTTAGACCTCTAACACTTGTTGGCTCTGTAAATCACCTGCCAATATATAATTTCTTCTTTTATAATTTAATATACAAAATAACAGAATTCCTGATGACATTTCCACACAACCATACAATGTTCATTGATCCTAACTCTCTCCCTCCATCTGACCCCTCATTCCAATAGTACTACATTGAAGCTCATGTGTCTTACTTTGTAATTTATGGATCTAGATTCTGCATATAAGAGAAAAGATAAAGCATTTGTCTTTCTGAGTCTGGTTTATGTTACTTGACATGATGATCTCCAGTTCCATATATTTATCGGTAAATGATATAATTTCATTTTTCTTAGTTACTAAATAATCCTCCTTGAATGATTCCATAAATTGATTATTATGATTTGCGTAGCAAGAAACATGAATGTGCAGGTATCTCCATTGTACGCTGACTTATTTCACGTCTGCTCAGGAGAAGTATGGCAGGATCACTAAGTTCTATACTTAGTGTTGAGGAACTTCCATGTTGATTTCCATAGTGGTTGCGCTCATTTCTATTCCACTAACAGTGATTGAGAGTTGCTTTATCCCCATATTCTCATAATTACTTGATTTTTTAAATGAAAGCCATGCCAACTAGGGTGAGGCAGAATCATAGTGCTTTGTCAATCCATGCATTCTGAATTATTTAGTGAAATATCAAGCCAAAATTGTTAAAGAAAATGTGGTATAAGAAATTACTTATCGGGCTGGGAATGTGGCTTAGTGGTAGCCACTGAGTTCAATTCCTCAGTACTACATAAACAGTTCAGGAAGCCCTGAGTTCAATTCCTCAGTACTACATAAATAGAAAAAGCTGGAAGTGTCGCTCTGGCTCAAGTGGCTCAAGTGCTCTAGGTTTGAGCACAGGGACAGAGCCCAGGCCCTTAGTTCAAGCCCTAGGACCAGCAAAAAGAAAGAAAAAAGTTACCTATCCATGCAACTCTGCAAATAAGACTAGAGTGGATTAAAAAAACAACAACAACACATATTCATTAGTAATTTCTACTGGAATTAATTAAGCTTTCTTTCTATAAAATTACAAAATAAGATAATCCAGTTTTATTTAATTCCCAATCAAGGTGTAATTTTCTCTAAATTATTTGTTCTCATGCTAGTATGTGAACTTACTGTATGATGATGATACTTTCTTCTCCACAGACATGGAGGGGAACAATCAGACTACAGTCACAGAATTCCTCCTCCTAGGATTCTTTGGACAGTCAGATCGAGAAGAGGTTGTCTTTGGGGTGTTCCTGTGGACGTACCTGGTCACTCTCATTGGGAACCTTCTCATCATCTTGGCCATCAGCTGTGACCCTCACCTCCACACACCCATGTACTTCTTCTTGGCCAACCTCTCCAGTGTCGACATCTGCTTTTCATCAGTCACCGTCCCCAAGATGCTAGTGAATCACTTGGTGGGTAGCAGGTCCATCTCCTATGTGGGGTGCATGACCCAGATGTATTTCTTCATCACTTTTGGCAACATGGATGGCTTCCTCTTGAGTGCAATGGCCTACGACCGCTATGTGGCCATCTGTCGCCCACTGCACTACTCCTTGATCATGAGGCCCAGACTCTGTGTCCTGCTGGTGGCCATATCATGGGTTATCACAAACATGCACGCTCTCTTACACACTCTTCTGATGATCCGGCTTACCTTTTGTTCAGACAACACAGTGCACCACTTCTTTTGTGATCCCTACCCTTTACTGAAGCTCTCCTGTTCTGATACCTTCATCAATGACATGGCAGCTTTCACTGTGGGAGGGGTGATCTTTCTAACACCATTCACCTGCATCGTGGTCTCCTATGCTTACATCTTCTCTAACGTGCTGAGAGTGCCATCTGCCCGTGGCATAAGGAAAGCCCTGTCCACCTGTGGGTCTCACCTCACTGTGGTGTCCCTCTTCTATGGGGCCATCCTGGGAGTCTATATGCATCCTTCGTCCTCCTTCTCAGTGGCGGACATGGTGGCCACTGTCCTCTTCACAGTGATGACACCCCTGGTCAATCCCTTCATCTACAGCCTGAGGAATCGTGACATAAAAGCAGCCCTAAGGAAGATAATTCTCAGATCCCATAATTAGAAAAAAAAAAAGTAGCAGAAAGGGCTCCAGCACATTTCATTCTCTTTGAAAACTGAAGCCTAGAGAGGTATAAAATTCTCCTATGAGTATTCCTTTAATTAGTGATATGAGGTTGTGATCATGCTTTTAGATTTGAGCCGGACAATTGTCTGTAGTCATGAAACTGACTATTCCTTCTTCTTTGTCATGTAATATATGCAAAAAATTATTTCTTCAAATTCAGCTCAGCCTATGATGTCATGTGCAAGTTGCTATAGTATTCAAAAGTGATGGACACAGTAGACTAGTTCCCCTTAGGGTGGCCAGGAAACAGAGAGAGAGAGAGAGAGAGAGAGAGAGAGAGAGACAGAGACAGAGACAGAGAGAGAGAGAGGGAAGGAGAGGGAGAGGGAGAGGGAGAGGGAGAGAGTTTGCCAGTGGGCTTCCTTCCTCTTGTCCTTTTCTTTCATGGCAAGCCTTTTCCCCTTCATTAATCCTTTCTGGAAACATCCTCACAGACACATCTATAACTGTCTTTTATTAACCTCCTAGATGTTTTTCGTTTCAATCACATTGATAATCAAGATTAACCATCACAGAACTGGAAAAAAATCATCACCTGAGATATCTAGAAGCAGGAAACAGGGTGCGGCAGTCTTCAGTGGAGACTTGTGGTGACCTGTCACTCTAAGTTGATCTTGAGTTTAAATCATACACACTGGACAGATGCCAGTGGCTCATGCCTGTAATCTCAGCTACTCAGGAGGTTTAGATCTGAGATCATGGTTCAAAGCCAGCCCTAGCAGGAAAGTCTCTGAGACTCTTATCTCCAATTAACTATCAGAAAACCAGAAGTGATGCTGTGACCTAAAGTGGTAGAGCACTATCCTTAGTGACAAAGCTCAGAGACAGAGCCCAAGTCCTGAGTTCAAGCTCCACGACAAAAAAAGTTGTATGCACTATAAACAGACAGACACAAATGTTAGATTAGTGAGATTTCTGCTAGTGTGGTGACACACACCTGTAATCCCAGCTCCTCAAGTAGAAGAATCAGAAATATATTGAATCAAGGCCATATTGGGTAAAGTTATGAAGACCTTCTCTCAGAAATAAAATACAAACCAAAAGGGTAGAGATATGGTTCTGATAATCAGCTTATGATGAATGAAGCTCTAAGTTCAATCTTCAGTGAAAAGAAAAGACGAAAAAAGAAGGAAGGAAGGAAAGAAGGAAGGAAGGAAGGAAGGAATGGAGGGAGGGAGGGAGGGAGGGAGGGAGGGAGGGAGGGAGGGAGGGAAAAGAGATAAAGTTGGGTGGAGGGAGCTGACTTTTAGGCTAAACATAGGAAACTGCAGGCCAGGAAAAGAAAGTCTGGAAGCCTCTGGATTGTATCTTTGAATCTATTCCAGAGATCAATGCTGAGGACATTGTCAGTTAGCTTCAGTTAACAACACAATTCACACTTCCCAGAAAGAAAGGGCATCATAACATTGCTTGGCATAACTTGTGTCAGAAATGAGGAAATCTCAGCCAGTCCCAGAGTTAGAACAAATCTTATGTATTTGACTTCCAAATTCTCTCACCAGACCAGCATGAGACGTTTTTATCATGAGGTTGTCCAGCTATAGCTAGTAGACATCTTGATGGCTTCCCTTTAAGTTCAGTCCAAGATGTAGTGATTCATGTCAGATGAATGACATCAGACCTCCAGTGGTTTTATGGAGACCAGGAATGTATCTTAATTTTACAGTGAACAAGGGGATTAGGGATCCTGGTTTCATTACTTTGGCTGAGCCTAGCATGGACCACTCTTCATTTGTGGTACTCGCCTCTTCACCATGCATCAGGTAGCTTTCCAACATCTGTTTGAAGGGCTAAAGTACTTGAGGCAGTGACCATTTGTTGCTTGTTTCAGAGCAGAGCAACACGTGGTGCTAAACCACCTGGTTGTGTGCCTTTATAAGACCTACAAATCCTTTGCTCAGGGCTCTCCTCCTAGGCTCCGCTGTGTTGGAGTGTAGGACGAGGCCGGAGCTGCAGCTCATCTAAATAAAACCTTAAAACAGCTGTAAAGTCTGATCCTTGGTGGTCTTCTTGGTGGGGGTCCTGCGATCTGGGCACAACATCTTGTCATTCCAACCAATTCCAGAAATACGTATTTGGAATATCAGGGGATATGTGAGCTCTGTTCCCAATTAAGATCTGTGTTCTTCACCTCACTCCTTGTTCTTTGATGAGAGAAACTGAGACAAGGAATATTTAGACAGACTATGGCCAGCCTCTTCTGTACATTCAGATCTATGGAGGCCCCAGACCAATAGGGACTTCAACCAGCCTTTAAAATTCCCAGCACTGCTTTGATGAATGGCAAATTAATTAATTAATACATAAAATTCCCAACCAGGCCAGATGTAGTGATTCTGGCCTATAATTCCAGCTATTCAGAAGGCAGAGATTAAAGGACTATAGTTCATATCCAGCCCTGGCAAAGAGTTAGTGAGACCCCTCTTCCCCTCCCACCTCACACCCCCACACCGTCGCAACCAACAAGCTGGATAGGATGGTGTATGTCTGTAATCCCAACAACACAGGAAGTGTAGGTAGGACTGCAATCCAAGGCTGGCCCTGGATAAATAGTGCAACAGCCTATCTGAAAATTAATAAAGCAAAAAAAAAAAACAAAAAGAGTGTAGCTGGAAGGCACGGCTGAAACTCTAGCAAGCATGAAGCCCTAAGTTCAAACCCCAGGGTAAATAAGGAGATTGATGTGTATGTAGACAGACAGACAGACAGACAGACGGACAGACAGACAGACAGACAGACAGACAGACAGACAGATAGATAGATAGATAGATAGAGAATTCCCAACAGGAAAAACTCCTATCTGTGCCTTACAATATGAACACTACTTCCTTGTTCCCTGGAGAAGCTGATTCATTTGTGATCTGCAGAACACAGAGGAACTCCCTTGTGAGCTGCCTGTAATAAGAAGCTGTGGGGGTTTCCTCTGTGGTGGGGATATTAAAACCCCTACATTCAAGGAGGGAAAGGACATTCCAGCCAGAGGATAAGAAGACAGATTGAGCTTCCAGATCCCCAGGTATTGTGCTGTGTCACACCAGAGAACAGAGAGAGGAGAGAGCTGGACAGGACAATTATGGCTATGTGGTCCTTTCCTGAACTTGTCCATTTTTTGCTCTAATTGTCCATGGATGATTGTACTTGCCTCCCCACCCAGGTCCCTGTATGGATGCCAAAACGTAAGCCAGGTGACACATAGGGAAATCTTTCTACATTAGCCAGTTAAAGACTTTTAGACATTATTCAGGGATGACCAGAGTAATGTTTCATTAGTTATACAATATTATAGAGAATAGTTTATAGATTGTAGTGATTCAATAAAGAGCAGGTGGCGCACACCAGCAACCAGTTCGGTGGTCCTGTGGGGTCCACACACACAGATGAATGTGGGTCCCAGTGTCCCCAAAGCAGGACTTTGTGTTCCTCACAGTGACTCTGTTGTTTGTGTCAAACAACCCAGCATGAGTCTACAAAATGACTTTAGGGTCGTCTAAGTCCCCATCCATAGAGTTCTTTGTGTGTGCATGGGGAGGGGAGCTGGGACTTGAACTCTGGGCCTGGGTGCTGTCCCTGAGCTTTTGTGCTCAAGGCTAGCACTTGAACCACAGCTCCACTTTCAGCTTTTTGTGGTTAATTGGGGATAAGAGTCACATAGACTTTCTTGCCCCGGCTGGCTTCAAACCATGATCCTCAGATTTCAGCCTCCTGAGTAGTTACGATTGCAAGTGTGAGCCACCAGCACCCAGCAATGAAATATATTTATATGTTTATGTTACTGTCTGATATTCCCTAGGGTCGTCCCTGGTGTGGCACTGAGTCCTCGTGACTCTCCAATGTGTCTCAAGTCTGGGCCCTCCTCCCTGGCTTTCACCAGGCCAGCGGTGAGGCCCAGGAGTGTTTCGTGGGATTTAATGGTGATGCAGAGCAAAGTGTCTGCTCTGTGTGTTCTGATGGCTCCAAAGGAATAGAGAAAAAAAAATGAGACAAAAATCAACGCCTCAAGGTGGGGAGGGAAGGGATGGTAAGGGGAAAAACAAAGGAGGGGGTAACAATGCTCAATAGGAAATGGACGCATTACCTTACTCATGTAACTGTAACCCCTCTGTACAGTATCTTTACCATAAAAATATATATTTAAAAAATCAATGCCCCCAAAATCGATCTTGAGAAATCACATCTACAGCCAGGTGTAATGATGTACATTTGTGATCCAGCACTAAAGAAGGTTGAGGAGAATCTGAGTTCAAACACAGCCTGGGCTACCTAGTTAGCCCCTGTCTGCAAAACAGGTTGGGGAAAGGGGAAATGCCATATCTAACTGGGCACTGGTGGCTCGTGCCTGTAATCATATAGCAGCAACTCAGGAGACTGAAATCTAGAGAATCATGGTTCAGAGCCAGCCCGGGCGGAAAAGTCTGCTGGACTCCATTTCCAAACTAATCAGCAAAAAGCAAGGCTAAAGACAGATACTGGTGGCTCATGCCTGTAATCCTAGCTGTTTAGGAAACTAAGATCTAAGGATTGTGGTTCAAACCAGCCTACACAGTTAAGTCCTTGAGACTCTTATCTGCAATAAACTACAAGGGGAAAAAACATAAAGGGAGCTGTGGCTCAAGTGGTAGAGTGCTAGCTTTAAGCACAAAGGCTCAGGGGCAGCACCTAGGCCCTGAGTTCAAGCTCCAGGACCACTACAAAAATAGGAAGGCTGGAGGTATGGCTGGAGTGGTAAAGTACCAGCCAAGCAAAAATGCAAGCTCTGAGTTCAAACCTTGATACCAGAAAAAAAAATCACATTTAGTTTAAAATGTTGATTTAAAAAAAATCCTTCAAGGAAAATAGGTGAATAAATAACTCTGATTTATTTACTACATAAAGAATTCTCAAGTAAGGCAGAGAAATAGAAAGATTCAGGGCTGATTCTAATACTGACAGCCTCAAAGTTCCAAATAGGCTGACCATCCCTAATCAAAACCTCAGAAATCCAAATGCTAACCAAATCTGAAACTCTAACATAAATGCCACCGATGGAGAAATATCATACTGTGAGACTTTGTTTCCTGCCCAAAATTATTTAAAATATTGCATAAAATTAGTTCCAGAGTCTTTATGTGTATGTGTACACAAAAATCTAAATTAATTTTATATTCAGGTTTGGGTCTCACCTCCTCCCAAGATAGCCCTTTAGGTGTATGTAAATACCTGCAACTGGTCCCAATCGTTTTGGATAAGGGCATACAGCCTGTATTGGGTTCTCTGTTTAAAATGACAGAGGCAAATTGTTCTGCGTCGAAAACTCAAAGGCAGCTTTCTGTAACTAACCAAAGTCTGTCTGAGTTCTCCAGACCAGTTTTGAGGAAAAATTATTGAGTCTAGACTGCCTGGAGATGAGGAAATACAGTAACTAACTGCAGACTGAGCCTAGAAAGGTGACACGCGTGTGAATGCTTCCCCAGTGGCTCTAGGGACCTGGATAGAAGGTGACCAGCATGACAAAATCAGCTGACATGGGAGGATAATGAGGCAGCACAAGATGATAGAGATGTGTAGCTTGATAGAACCATTTCCGGGTGGCCAGGACATGAAAGAGGGGTGGAGCACCCATAATTCCCTTGAAGAGTACACCCCAGTGACCAGAAGACTTCCCGCTGGCCCCGCCCCTCCCTTAAAGGTACTCCTCTCTTGAGTAGCACCACACTACATACAAAGCCCTGAGCCCAAGGACCTAGGAAACAGTCCAGATCTAAGCTACAGCAGAGTCGGAAAATGGGGTCTGGCTTTCCCTCTACCCTCTATGGTGGCCACAGGCCCTGGGTGACATGAAGGTCACACGTCACCCTCCTCCAAGGCATCAGGGAGGAAATTCCTGCTGCCAGGTGACCTTGAACTTGCCCACATTGATACCAAGTCAACACTCAGACCTCTGCATGAAGTCACTCAGACACACACTTGATGCTTCGAGCTAGGCGAGTACTCTCCCACTGCACGCCCAACCTGTTTTATTTCTTCAGTGAACTTGGTCCCAACCACAAATTTCGTGTGCTAGGTCGTGGCTGTACTTTAGACTGATAGATTAGGGTGCGCAATGCCTTTGTGAACATTCCTTCTTTCATGTGACTTATTTCCTGAGCTTTTTCACTCAAGGATGATGGCTCTACCACTTGAGCCATACCTCTACTTCCAGCTTTTTGGTGGTTAATTGGAGATAAGAGTCTCACGGACTTTCCTGCTTGGGCTGACTTCAAACTATAGTCCTCCTGAGTAGCTAGGATTACAGGTGTGAGCCACTGGTGCTGGGATTCACTGCCTTATTCTTCATGGATGGGAAGAGAAAGAAGCTTTGTTCGCAGGAAGGAAAGGTACTCCCACAGTGAGCTGGTCAGGCAAAGCAGGAAACAGCCGCTGCTGTGCTTACCAGTGCCTGAACCCAGCTCAGTCTTGGAGAGATCTGCGCACAGAACTGAGAGCCACCATTAACAGGCTCCTGGTCTTTGTCCATTGCTGGTCACATGTCTTAGTGTAAGACTTGGGGAATGGCTGCCAACTCGTCACTCCAGGCTTTGCCTCCTCAAGTGTTGACTTATCTCCAGTTTGCTGTGGGTACCCTCACCTTACGATGATGACAGGCTGGCTGAAACCAGTTCAAGGATGCTGCCTTCAACTGAGTGTCCGGCTTCTTGAGTGTGAAGTACTAATGGCTTGAAGCGGGGCAGGCAGATGTCAATCAGGTCACATAGGGTTCAAAGTCCTTTGAAGGAATTGCCAGTCACTTGTCATACGCCTCCTTTACTTCATGTGAAAAGTAAGCATAATGGTAGTGTGTATTTTCTAAGGTGGACATTAGAGGGGATTAAAAAGTCTTCAGTATGACTTTACACATTAAGTACTCCATAAGCCGGGCACTGGTAGCTCATGCCTGTAATCCTCGCCACTTAGGAGGCTGAGATCTGAGATTCACAGTTCAAAGCCAGCCCAGACTGGCTTTTTGATTAGCCATCAAAAAGCTGGGGGTGTAGCTATGGCTCAAGTGGTAGAGTGAGTGCTAAGCCTTGAGCAAAAAACCCAGACCCTCAAGATGCAGTATCAGAAAATAATAATAATAATAATAAACAACTGTTCATTCATAGCACCACAGATGCATGTTGATCCAATTCTGAACATATAGTGAATCCAGGCTTGCTGTGTGGGGGTGAGGGCACCTGTCACCTCTTGAGCGGCTGTGGGATGTCCAGGGGGGATAAGAATGAGACCGGAGTCAGCGAGTTCCTCCTGCTGGGGATCACCAGGGACCCCGGCCAGCAACAAGTCCTCTTCTGGTTCTTCCTGTGCATGTACTTGGTCACAGTGGTTGGAAACACCCTCATCATCGTGGTCATCAGCTCCGACCCACGCCTCCACACCCCCATGTACTTCTTCCTTACCAACCTCTCCTTCGTCGACCTCTGCTTCACCACCAACCTAATCCCCAAGCTCCTGGCCAACCACGTGGCAGGAACGTGGACCATCACATACCCCCACTGCCTAACCCAGATGTATTTCCTCATCTCTTTTGCCAACGTGGACACCTTCCTGCTGGCTGCCATGGCGCTGGACCGCTACGTGGCCATCTGTAAGCCTCTGCAGTATTGCACCATCATCACACCCCGGCTCTGTGCAGGGCTGGTAGCCCTGGTGTGGGTGAGCTCTGGCCTCATCTCCTTGGTCCACACGCTCCTCATGAGCAGACTGACTTTCTGCTCCTCGGCCCGGGAGATCTCCCACTTCTACTGCGATGCTTACCTGCTCATGAAGATGGCCTGCTCAGACACACACGTCAACCAGTGTGTGTTCCTAGGGGCCGTGGTCCTGTTCGTGGCTCCCTGTGTGCTTATCGTGATCTCTTACGTCCAGATCGCCGGGGCTGTCCTCCGCATCCCATCAGCCACGGGGCGGTGGAAAGCCCTTTCCACATGCAGCTCCCACCTGTCTGTGGTTACGCTGTTCTATGGGACTGTCCTGGGCATCTACATACGGCCCCCCAACTCCTTCTCAGCGCAAGACACAGTGGCCACCATCATGTACACTGTGGTGACCCCCATGTTGAACCCCTTTATCTACAGCCTAAGGAATAAAGACATGAAAGAGGCAGTAAGAAGGCTCTTACACAGAGGCCCCAAATCTTCTTAGAGGGGGGGACAGCGCTGGGTTGGTGGCTACAGAGGAAGTAGAAAGCAATTCTGGCCACTCTTTCCATGCTACTGGCTCCCACACACTCATCCCTACCGCTCCGAGAAAGGGGAAATGAAGCCAGAAATTCAAAGAGAATTCTACTTTTATCAGAAGAGAGTAACTAGGAGAGATACTTGTATCTCTGGGAATCCTAATTATAGATGGTATATCCTCATTCTATTTGTTTAAACAAGACACGAGATTACATTTGTCTTCTGTAATGACAAGCTCAGAGTGTTCATTCCAAGTCTAGAAACGAGGCTCCTTCTAGATCTCTCCTTCTCCACCCTCAGGGTGAAGCTCCCAAGATGGCTACAAGGGCTCCAGCCATTTTATCCTATCTCCATTGAGGAGAGGAAAGGGCAAAGGAAACTTTTTTTGGGCTTTTCCAGCATCTTTTTCTTTTTCTTTTTTTTCTCCTGCCAGTCCTGGGGCTTGAACTCAAGGCCTATACACTGTCCCCGAGCTTCTTTTCTTCAAGGCTAGCACTCTACCACTTTGAGCCACAGCACCACTTCTGCCTTTTTCTATTTATGTGGTACTGAGTGCATGCTAGGCAAGCACTCTACCACTAAGCCACATTCCCAGCCCCCAACAGCTCTACTGGGCATCTCAATGGATACCAAGCAGCAACACAGGCTGGGAAAGGCCATTGCTAGTTTGGATTGCTGTTGGCGGTCTCTTTGTTTGTTAAGATTTGACTTCATCTCCACCTCCAAAGAACAAAAATTCTCTTAGAAAGGAACAAGAGGAAGTGGGTATTTGACGGACAAGACTGATTTTGTCACATCCATCCATGCACAGGCATGCTGTTACTTTTAGAAGAATAAAACTATTTTGTATGTTGATTCCCTCCCTTTAGACTGATGCTGTACTAGCAGAAAAATCACAGCTATATTCTCACACTTGTGAGGCTAAAATGAAATTCCTCTGAATAGGGTCGAGAAATATGAGGGAAAAATAATGAGGGGAAAAAAGGTTTTGTATCATTAACTTTTTGTTTTGTTTTGTTGGTCGTGGGGCTTGAACTCTGGACCTGGGCGCTGTCCCTGCACTCTTCAGCTCAAGGCGAGCACTCTACCACTTGAGCCACAGCACCACTTCTGGTTTTCTGAGTGGTTTATTGGAGATAAGAGTCTCGTGGACTTTCTTGCCTGGGCTGGCTTTGAACCATGATCCTCAGATCTCAGCCTCCTGAGTAGCCAGGATTACAGGCATGAGCCATGGGTGGCTGGCTAATGTATAACTTATTTATTTAAAAAAAATTTTTTTTAATTGATCTTGGGGCTTGAACTTGGCCTGAGCTGTCCCCTCAGCTCTTCAGCTCAAGGCAAGCACTCTACCACTTGAGCCACAGTGCCACTTAACTTTTTGTTTTAATACTGAGATTTGAAGTAAGGGCTTTGTGCTTGCTAGGCAGGTACTCTACCATCTGAGCCATGCTTCCAGCAATGAGACATTAATCATTGAGAATGTTTTAATTTTGAAGGGGAGTAGATTTCACTTGGGATTATTTTTTCTCTATAGGAATATCTATAGGAAAAACTCATACCCACTATAATATCAATACATATTGCTGTTATATTAGTATTAACACCATATTATAAGCATATTGATATGAAAACAAATCACTAAGCTATTCTAAATCAATCAAAGAAGCCATAAATAACCTAATAAAATATCAATATTATAGTCAAGTAGTAAATGTTTTCCTTAATATCTTTTATGCTATTACCACAGCTTAATTCAGGGCCTTGCACTTTTGCTCAGTTTTTCTGTTCAAGACCAGTGTTCTACCACTTAAGCCATACTTCCCATTTCTGGCTTTTGCTAGTTAATTGGAGATAAGAATCTCATGGATTTGTCTTCCTGGGCTTGCTCCAAACTTCAGTTTTCATGTCTCAGCCTCTTGTTTAGCTAGGATTACAGGTGTGAGTCACCAGCACCAGTAACAGTGCAAATATTTTATAACAGTTTTATGGGACACACATTTATAGGCTTAACACCAAACATGTTTTTTGTTTGTTTGTTTTCATTTTTTTTGCTGGTTGTAGGGCCTGAACTCTGGACACTGTCCCTCAGCTTTTCAGCTCAAGGCTAGTGCCCTACCACTTGAGCCACAGCACCACTTCCGGCTTTTTCTGATTATGTGGTGCTGAGGAATCGAACCCAGGGCCTCAGGTATGCAAGGCAAGCGCTCTACCACTGAGCCACCTTCCCAGCCTCAAACATGTTTTTATATGTTCCTGTATCAGGGTTTGAGTTCAGGGCCTAGGTACTGTCCCTTAGCTTTTTACTCAAGTGCTTTACTACTTGAGCCACAGCTCCACTTCCAGCTTTTTGCTGGTTAATTAAGAAGAAAAATCCCGCAGACTTTTCTGCCCAGGCTGGCTTTGAACTTTGATCCTTAAATCTCAGCCTCCTGAATAGCTAGGATTATAAGTGTGACCCACTGGCACCTAGTCAGACTTTTTTTTTTTTTTTTGCCAATCTTGAGGCTTGAACTCAGGGCCTGGGCACTGTCCCTGAGCTTCTTTTGCACAAGGCTAGCACTCTACCACTTGAGCCCACAGTGCCACTTCTGGCCTTTTTCATGTATGTGGTACTGAAGAATTGAACCCAGGGCTTCATGCATACTAGGCAAGCACTCTACCACTAAGCTACCTTCCCAGCCCAAACATTTTTTTAATGGACTGCATAAGACTTTATAGTAATCATGTCTTTTATTTTCTGTATCTTCTTATGCTTTTGAAGGGAGGGAGGGGAGCCGAGTGAGCAATCAAGCTCAGTCAGTGAGTTCAAATCCTGAAAAAATAAAAGTAGAAATTAAACTATTTTTTTACCCACACACACAGCCTATCTGTAGTAGTTCAGTAGGGCAGGTTGCCAAAAGACCAAAGAAACATCCAGAAGAAGGCATGTTAAACCTAAGATTTATTGAAACTTACTAACAGGGAAGCTACGGGAGAAAGGTTCAAGCAGTACCCACACCAACAAGGCTGCTGAAGGCCAGTGGGGTCACAGGCTGGACAAGTGGCATCTCTGCCCCTTGTGCCCGGCTGGGAGTGCCTTTCTGTGACACAATTTACCCTGAGGTTCACCGGGCCAAGAGCACCTATTGTGTTGATGGTGCGCCTGGACCTCCGCCATTACGACAGGGAGAGGTCCTGAAGGTTACACCGTAAGTAGAGATGTCACTAGCTTGCTCCTTGTATGACCAGCAACCCAAGGAACAGCTGGCATTCTGCATGCAACAGGACGTAGGATCAGGGTTCGCCCTCATTCTCAGTGTGTTTCAGTGGGAGTTAGAGACCCTCTAACAGAGGCCTGGTTGGAAGTCTTGGCCCATTTTCATAGCACCTTGACTTGGCTACACAGGAGGCTGAGATAGGAGGAGCCAGCCCAGGCAGGAAAAATCTATAAAACTCTTGTCTCCAATTTAACTGGCAAAAAGCTAGAAGTAGAGTTCAAATGGTAGAGTACCAGTCTTAAGGGAAAAAGCCAAGTGAGAGCTCAGGGCCCTGTACTAGCGCATGCACACGCACGCGCGCGCGCGCGCGCACACACACACACACACACACACACACACACACACACACACACACGACACTTCTACCCAGACAGACCTCACTTCCTATGGGCTATTCACTATGGCTAATGAATGGATTAAGGCACAGCTCTTAAAATCCAATCATGAATGGGTTAATGTACAGCTCTTAGGATCCAATCACTTCCCAACAGCACCCCCCACTGGAGACCAAGTCTTCAACAGTATAATGACGGACATTTCATATTCCAATCACATTAGTATGCAGATTAAGTAGACAGTTCTTTCTGAAACAGGCTGCCTGAGTGGGCATAAAAATATGGGAACAGGTATCTCAACAATCTAGGCAAGAAAGATAGGAACATAACCTTGTTCTTTTGCACTGAGGTGGGGGCATGTTTTCCCATGGGGAAATCAATGTGAGTTAGGAAAACTAGCTATGGAGAAGAGTTAGGAAACCTAGCCATGGAGAAAACTGGATGAAGCTAACATTAACTGAGATGAAAATGAGGGAGACGGGGGCTGGGAAGGTGGCTCAGTGGTAGAACGCTTGCCTTGCATGCCTGAGGCCCTGGGTTCAATTCCCCAGCACCACATAAGCAAAAAGAAAAAAGCTGGAAGTGGTGCTGTGGCTCAAGTGGTAGAGCACTAGCCTTGAGCTGAAGAGCTGAGGGACAGCACCCAGGCCCAGAGTTCAGGCCCCATGACCAGACCCCCACACACACACACAAAAATTACAGCACAGAGAAAATGAGGGAGACGGAGCTGGTGTGGTAGCTCAGTGGTTAAGTGTGTGCTTAACGTGTACAAGGACGTGGGTTTGATATCTAATATCAAAAAGTGGGGAGGGGGAGGGACAACACCAAGAATGTATCCTAATTAAACAGGGTGACACTAACATGCCAATTGTAATACCCTCTGGTGTAAAATTCTACACTATGTAGAATAGAATATTAATTAGCAGCCTGTCGGGGTGGGGGGGGGGGGGTCTGCCGGGGCATATGGAAACTCTATCCTTCCTGTTCACATTTGCTGTATATTAGGTCAGAGAGAGGGCAAAGACAGCCTGCAAGTCTTGAAGCAGTTTGGTTTGTGGAAAAGTCAGGAAATTCTGCCATTCCTGACTCAAAAACCCCTTCCGGGACATGGCACCATTTATATTAGGTTTATTAAAGAGGTAAGCTTAATTAGGTAGCTGATAAAGAGAACATCACGTGGTATTCAGGCAGGAAGAGAAGTTTATTTTACCGAACTGCTGCACTGGCCTTGCATGGTGAAGAAGCATAGCCAAAAAGGGAAAACCCACCCCCAGGCCAGGACATATCTAGGCCTGACCACCTCAGGAGGAGGTGTGGCCTGGTGGGGGAAAGGTGTGACATCACCGGAAGCAGATGTGACCTCAGGACCTGGG